CACAGAATGTTCTTGACATTTATTTTATTTTGTTATGTGAGCCACCATACAGTACTTCCTTAGTTTTTGATGTAGTGTTCCATGATTCATTACTGGCAGTAGCCCTTTTGATGCAGTTTACAAAGGCTCCCCAAAGGTACTGCCTCCTACTCTTTGCTGCCACACCTACCCTAACAGTGTGGGCTCATTTACTTTCTAAATTTTTATTTTTATTTATTTTAAAAGTGTTTTCAAGGATAGTGTTTATTTTTTAAACATTTCATTATCAACATATAATGTATTATTTGTTTCAGGGGTACAGATCTGATTCATCAGTCTTACACAATACACAGTGCTCTCCATAGCATATACCCTCCCCAATGTCCATCACCCAGCCACCCTATCCCTCCCCCCTCCCCTCCAGCAACCTCATTTTGTTTCCTGAGATTAAGAGTCTCTTATGGTTTGTCTCCCTCTCTGGTTTCATCTTGTTTCATTTTCCCCTCCCTTCCCCTACAATCTTCTGCCTTGTTTCTCAAATTCCTCATATCAGTGAGATCATATGGTGATTGTCTCTGATTCACTTATTTCATTTAGCACGGTGCCCTTTAGTTCCATCCACATAGTTGCAAATGGTAGGACTTCATTTTTGATGACTGCATAATATTCCTGTGTGTGTGTGTGTGTGTGTGTGTGTGTGTGTGTGTGTGTTTGCATGCACACGCACACACACACCATATCTTTATCCATTCATCTGTTGATGGACATCTGGCCTCTTTCCACAGTTTGGCTATTGTGGATATTGCTGCTATAAACATTGGGGTGCATGTTCCCCTTCAGATCACTACATTTGTATCTTTGGGGTAAATAGTCAGTAGTGCAATTGCTGGGTCGTAGGGTAGCTCTATTTTCAACTTCCTTACTTCTTTATACCTTAAAAGAAACCCATAGCTTTAGTAGTGCAGCTTTGCTATTCCTTCAACTTCTTTTCTTCTGTTATTTTATCCTTTGGCTAGGTATCTTGTGCTGGTTACTACTTAGAGTTTTCTTTATTGCACTAATTCCTTTTTGTGTGAGTTCATGTTGAGAAAGGGCACATGTTGAACTCATGATTCATTACGCATTCACAGAACATACAGTTGTAAGTGCCTTCTATGTACTGGGCATTATGGGAGATACTGAGAGTAAATGATGAAAAGAAATAGTTCGTATCAAATCAGATGATTTTTATACTGTAATAGAGTAAAATAAATGACACTCAATTTCTATTTCATTCTATTTCAGTTACGTAATCAGATGGACTTTTTAAAGTTTTTAGACAAATACATATTTTTATGCATTATAATTCTATAACCATTGTATTTTGAATTCCATAATGGAAGACAGCAAAGTATAAAATCAAGGCAAGAATACTGTGACCTTTTACATTTGAGTTAAACTTTTAAAATGTCCTGGCTTCATAAACTGTTTCCAAAAGGAAATTTTCACCACTTTGAATTTATTATAAACAGATGTTAACATTTCCATTCCAAACTACAGAATTCCTCGCAATATTCTATGTGACAACTGCAGGAAGTGCACTTCTAGACTCTGAGAAAATAATTCCCAAATGAATGTAACACTCAAAGGAAAGTTTCTCTAGTTTACCTTCCTGGAAAGAAAATTGTCTATTTTTGCTAAAAATCTGTAGTTTAATAGAGTAAAAGATAGCTGTTTACCTTTCCCTAATTAAAAAAAAACAGCTTTTGCAAGGTAAGAAAAAAGGGCTAACGTTTTGCAGGAAAAATGGGCCATTTTACACCAGAATGAAGGGACCTAGAAACATATTCCAAACCCATTAAAACATAACCTCACTGCTGAAAAACTTTTTAAAATTATAGTTGGACTGTGTATAACTATGTACAATACTGGCCCCAGTGAGAAAAGAGTATTAATAAGAATAATAACATACACCTATATTATGTTCGCTAAGTGACAAGTACTGTTTTGTTTTTTTAAGATTTTATTTATTATTTGTCAGAGAGAGAGAGAGTGCATAAGCAGGCAGAGTGGCAGGCAGAGGCAGAGAGAGAAGCAGGCTCCCCACTAAGCAAGGAGCCAAGCCGAAGGCAGATGCTTAACCAAATGAGCCACCCAGGTGTCCCACACTGTATGTGTGTATATATATACACACATACAGATTAAATTTCATGTTGTAAATGAAAGAAACAAAATGGCAATCTTGTCTCTTCCTGCTAAAATGCTATGGTTAGCAATTGGTAAAGAAATGTGAAGACTCTAAAAAAAAGTGTGTGGTGGTGTCTAATTCTTTCCAAACACGTAAATAGAACAAAAGGGCAGTCTAGTTTTAGAATGCCTAAACTCAGCAAACCAGCGTGTGTTCTTTTTTGACATATATAAAATCCTTCATACCTCATTATAGTATTTTTTCAAGCACTGGGCTTGGCTGTAAGAAGATTAATCACTGGGGTCAGAAATTAATCACACAGGATGTAAAGTTCCTCTAGGAAAAGCCCTATTTGCAAACCAGCTAGCTCAATCCCGATTACCCATCTGTGAAAACTTCACATTTATGACAAAGCAATTGAAGACACAGACTGAAACTGGTTGACTGGTTTCTGGCTTCCTTCTGATGAGTCACTCACGGGCCACAAAGGAACAGGAACACTAGTGGTTGGTTTCCCCACTTTTTCACCGATGGAGTTGGTTATGGAGCTTGCTAGATTTAACAATGATGGGAAGTTGCCATCATGTTCCATTATTCAGGAATAAAGACAGGAATCTACCTTTGACTAGATTAGTTCTGACTCTTCAATTGAGGGTACAGAGGATAATGCTAGTCAAATAAAGGCCCTTCCTACATTACGTATACTGTGAAAAGTTATTCAAAGAGCACGTTAATACAACCTTTCAAAAATCACACAACAGAAGATCTTCACTTAAGCAGTAATCAGTCATCAGTAGATTTTGGATATTTAAAACCTGGTATAACTCAAACCATACAAATTCTACCTCTTGCCTTCTCCATTAGAATATACATTAGAGACCTAAGTTCCAAACATTTCCTCTACTGAAGACAGTGTCTCAGTGTGAGCCATCTAGTTACAACTATTTGAATGCTTATGGAACACTGACACTTGGTAATGGAAGAGATTTTAATTTTAAAAATATAATTATATTAGAAAACCCTAAATTGACCCAATTAATTTTCAAAGTAAGAGTTGGTCCATGTTTTCAGTTTATTGCCACACACAAAACATTTTATATCATATGGTAGACTTCCACTTCAACATCTTCATGTAAAAACTTCACAGTGCAAGAAAGTGATCACTATTAAGTATCAAGATATCTAAAGTCAGCCAGTATTTTAAGGATAGGGCAGAATATTTTTGTGAATCTTCCTAAAAAATGTTGGCACATTTATTAAATGCCCAGGTTATAAAAAGAAATCACTTAGTATCCACTTCTCATCCTTCTATATACTTCTGTATCTACATGGCATCACACTAAATGCTGGTGGAGAAAATAGGTTAAGAATCTAAAAACTTTCCAGGTAGCACAATGATTTGAAACCACAGAGGAGAATGCTGCCCCTCAAACACTTTTTTATGTAATTTTCTGTCCATTACCGTATAACAAAGTAAAAAAGAGGCTATAGCTTAAAAAGAAGCTAAAGGAAAACATTTCACTTTTGCTTTAAAAACATTATTACTTAGCTCATAAATAGAGAAAAAACTTTAATTTTAGGGAGGGAGGGAAAGTGTTTTATAAGTAAAACATCAAGTTTATGTCAGTTATACAAATGTCTCATTTAGGAAAGAACGTATTTTGATTCAAAGAATTCTAAAATATTTCATCATTACCAAAAAAGTGTAATTTCAAGTTAATAAACTGTAACACCTTGAACTAATATAAGTCACCATTAGCATATTCTATTATTTTTCACAAAATCCATAATTAAGGAACGATATATTGGGTAAAAGATCTCTTTTTCCAACATTTGGTCAAATTGGCTAAGAAGGCCTGGGCAAACCACTCACCCGGAGTCTTGGGACTATCACCTCTCACATAATGGTCCCGGACTCACTGTCCTCTTCCATCCCTTCTGATCTACAAATTTATACAGAATTGTTAAACTCACATAATCCTTTTGAGAATGAGGTGTTTCAGCCCAATGCATTTTCCAGATAAAGTTCCCGCCTTTAAGTAGTAAAGCTGTTTTTTAAATATTTAAAATCTTACTTTAAAATTCATTTTCAATAAAGTTCCCTGTCACCTTAAAAGTCGAGGTCTGACTGATAACATAGTCTCCTAATTTCACGGTTTCCCAGACCTGACAGCTGACAGTGATCAGCAAAGACCACTCAGGCCCTGACTCCAATTCTGTGCAACCTTGGGTCACACTCTGAGTCTCAAAACAAGGATGATCCCACCTGCTCTACATCTGTTGTAAAGCCCAGCAGAGTTATATTACACCAAAGTATTTGTCAACTAGAAATCACCATATGAATGCAAAGGACTGTTGATAAGCCCTGGTTGAATTTTTCCTGATAACAAAGTCTAAATATTTCTTATAAAATATATGTTCTTCATCAATACTTGTGCTTTTACGGTTCTGATTCCTCAGTTACCTGTTCTCATGCAGTCACTTTGTCTACCTGCTTTTAATTGCACCAGGCCTGAGAGTGTTGGTCTCTCCTGGAGTCTAGAAGCCTGACCTTGCAGTAAGTGAAAATCAAAACCTAAAGATCTCTGTTACTTTATAACATTCACTTTAAAAGGGTGGTTTCCTAACTAGGTGAGGCAACAGACTCACCTGGGAAGCATTCTAAAAATTGAGATTTCTGGGCTCCGGACTCAGTTGAGAGTCTGATTCTGTATGTCTGGAGTCGGACCCAAAAAAAACTCTTGTCTCTCAAAAGCTCCCCTAGGTAAATCTCAATAATCAATAGTTCAATTTTGTGGACTCATTGCTTCCACCTCAATTTCTTCTCTAGAATTTTAGCCACTGCTAATTTTAGTATAAAAATATCCCCCTGCATTAATCACAAGCACATTCAAAGTAGATTGCTTACGATCTTGGCTTAGCTCCACAGGGAACCCATTACAATCCTCTGCAATGGAATTAAAAAATAAAAAATCAACTTCAGAGTGGACGTAATGCATGTAGATGCTGAAAGGTGGCTGGTGCCACATTTACATGGCAACTGTTTTCTACTTACTCACTGCTACATCTGAAGACCATCTTATTACAGCTGCCATTACACATTAAGAAAGGATGGCAGAATTCCAAAAAAACAGGTGGATGGTGAACTAGCTAATCAGAATCATTAAGGAAAGGTTTCCAACACACATAAATGAAAAGTTCTTTAAAAACCACACAGCTTTCTGCAGAAACCCAAAGACTCCCATGCTTCTGAAGTCTACCATAAAGAGGAAAGTTGACCAAAACTGCAGTTGTTTAAAAATATGCTCAATTCACTGTGAAAATATAAGTGCAAAATAGGTACAATTTCATTCTTTAGGAGGTTTAACAAATATAAATGGAATTCACTTTCCATTTATTCTACCCAAATAGTTAATATTGAAAAAAACATGTGAAATATTTGGTATAATGTAGTTCTGAACGTCACCCCTTCCAAATTTAATACAAAAGCCACATCTGGATTTGCCAGGTGTCCCAAGCATATCTAGGCACTGCGAAATGTTGTCATGTCTTTTGGTTCTCTGCTGGGGACACACCAGTCATCAGCCTCATGGTTGGTGTTGTAATGTTTCCAGGCAGCTTTGTTATACACTGGGAGTCTCTCTATCGATTCTGTTGACAAAGCCTGAAAGAAAAAGTGGGACCTAAGTCTGGCATTTTTTTTTTTTTTTTTTTTAGAATCCACTATTTGAGAGAGTATACAGTGGCAAAAGGTTACTCCAAATTAAACAGTGCTTTATTGAATTTGTACTTTACTAATCATTCACACCATCTATATACATTTTGAAACAGTGTACATATTTGTAATGCATTATTTACTAAGTCTATGGCACTGCTTGGTGTGCACATTGATTTGAGTTTTTTGTTTGCAGTAATTGTCCAAACAGCCTGGAAGCTGCTGGAATGAAATTTTACATAGGTATAGGAGACGCCTCTTACAAAAACATGACCCAGAACAGAAGATGGTTAACTGAAAAAGCCATTTAAGTGTAAATGCATAAAAAATGACATATGCACCTTAATATACATAATTGTAAAATCATTTCATGAAATCTATTTCAATTATTTGTTAGAAAAAATATTATTTTTTCCAGCATAATCACAGACTTTGAAAAGTCATCATAACAACATTATCAATAAATACAAAACTATGTCTAAGGCTTTTGACTGACAAATTCTTGGCCTTGGGTTTGACCCTGCGTCTTCTCCTCCTGCCGTTCGAGCCACCAATTTCAGTTATAGCGGATGTGATATCTGCATTGTGCATTATTTCACATTTCCAACATATCATTACCATTGATTCACACTGTTCTATTTCAGTTTCCTGCAAATTGCTGGAACCTGAGATAAACCATGTTCCTCCTTATCTTCTTCAAGTTAAGGTATTTTAGTAGGATTCTGACCTTAGGTCATGGGTATTCCCAAGATGTAGAAAATATTGAACAGGGAATTTCATTCCAATAATGGAAAGGAAATTTTTGACATTGATTTTAATGACTTTTTTTTTTTTTTTTTTTTTTTAAATAGGCTCCACATCCAGTGTGGAGCCCAATGGGGGCTTGAGCTCATGACTTGAAGATCACAACCTGAGCTGGTAATCAAGAGTCAGACTGAGCCACTGAGGAGACCCCTGATTTTCATGATTTTATGAGATTCCTGTTTTCTGTTTTTTTACAAAGTGGGAAAAAAAACCTTTCACCTACATATTCTCTTTAAATATGCCAGAACTACCGGAACTTGATTTATGGGCTAGATAAAAAATGTTACGTTTGGTGATAAAAATGTTACCTTCATGTTGCCCTTTTCAAGTTATTCACAATTGAGATGGTTTAAAAGAAAAGAGAAAGAATTATTATCTTGAAAAAATTTAACCTTTTTGGATAAACTTATTTTTTACATTACACAGTCTTCACCATTTCCTATAAAACAGGTGCCATCTAGTGGCCAGAACAAGAAACTTGAGTCACTAAGTTAGGTACCAACTGCCCACTGCTTAACCAATCCAGGGGGCTGGTAGGGCTCGGTGGCTCTCCAACCCTGTAAAATATGCTGAACTCAGATAAACACGACAAGCAGGTTAAGAGCTTCTGCTCCCACCAGGTAAGCTATATGTCAGACAAGCGTCCCCTGTGCTTGTTCCCAAATATGTTTATGCACTCACATCTATCACTATAATCACATAATTTAATCAAGTATTGCTTAAACAAAATGCAAAATAAATAAACAAACAAATAAATAAATAAATGGATGGATGGATGGATAGAGGGTAGGTGGAGGTGCTTTGAAAACTAAGATGAATGCTTTGGAAAGACTCATGAAGTAAAAGTTATATACAGATTGCTGTCAGATCTGAGTCAGAAGACATCTGTAAAGGACTACATATAAATAAAAAGATTATGCAGTTGGTTGTTTGTTTAACGAAATCAAAACAATACATGGTTAAAGTATAGCTTCTGCAGAAGAGACAACCAAAATGTGAACCTGCAGACTCATATATGGAGAAAAGACCCTGGCAGTACATCAAAAAATTGGGGGATCAATGTCCATTCATGTGTTTTGCATTAACATTAAATTTGTGTGATATATAACTTGTGATTTCCCACTTCAGCCCGACTTTTTTTCTGTTAACAGCTATAGTTCTGATCATCACAGGTCAGTGTGTGTCCTTTCCCCCAGTTAAGGAGATCATTTGTGAAAATACATGGGATCCTATGTAAAAAAAACATATTCTTATATCTTAACAGTGATGAGGTAGAAGAAAATTTCATTACAGCTAAATACTGGCATATTTTCTTATAACCAAAAGAATTATCATTAAATCAAGAAGACTACAGTTATTACCTTAATGTAGATGACTGCATCTGTCCCATAACCCTCTAGAGAATATAGCTTTAGGTCTCCTTGGAAGTATTGGGCATAAAGACGTGATATGGGCAATCCATAACCAAAACCAGCCTGTTAGATGAGAAAAATGAAATTCTATTCAGAAAGCCATACAGTGAAATACTTTTCTAGTTAAAATGAATGCTTCTGAGTATCCTGAAGCTATCAGAGACTGCATCTAAGAGCTCATTAATACCTAACCACTAATACAGATCAAGCTGAAGCCTAGTTGGGGTACTACATTAGATGGCTCCCCTCTGGTCATTTAAAACTTTTTTCTTTTTTCTATAAAATGACTCATGTAGACCTAGAACAGCACATTGCTCTTCTTTGCTGCCTTGCTCTAGGGTATCCCAATACTGCTTTTGGCAATATCACATTAAACATGTTCTCTCTTTTAGGAGCAAGAGTAGAAAAAGCTTTGTTGGCAGTCTCAGAGACACATCTCTTGACTTTATACCATGAATTTTCAGCCTGTGTTCTGAACCTGGATAGATCAATAATAAGTCCACTTTGTCACTCACTGACAAATCACTCCCCTGTTTAAAAACCTACAAAGCACATCGCCACTAACACCATGACCTACCTGCCTACCATCCCCAACCCACTGCCTTGAGATAAAAATTCAAGCTTCTTTTAAAAAGAACTTTCAAGACCTCAGGTCTCTGCCTCTCACTTTCTAGTCCAGCTGGACCAAATTTCCAGCTCTTAAGTTCTTCAAACAAATGTTATTTTTCATTTCTGTGTCTTTGTTCATCCTGTCTCCAGTTCTAGAATGGCCTTCTTTACCTGAATAAATCTAACAAATTCTTTAATACAAAGCAAAACATTTGGACAAGTATAAAAACAGTTTTTATCACCAAGCCAGACGTTCAATGATATTCCATGTAACACTTTAGTTAAGAGCTTACATGGATTCAGGAATCAGAGTGCTGTTAACAAATGTAGGCTCTGGCTTCATCTACCTCTCCCATTTGTTTATTCCTTAGCTTTTCTGACCAGAGTTTCTGTTTACCCTTCCAAATCAACTACCCATTCTCCACATGGCTCCTTGCCCTAGGAGGATGCTATCAATGATTCTCCTGCCCTCTGCTTCCAGTGGGTCCAGAAAATGGGGAACCCAGTAGTAGCTCAGAGGGAGTCCAGTCACAGAAGTCATTCCTGTTTCCTTCCCGCTGAGGGTAGTTTCCCCTGGGATTAGACCCCTTGAGTGTAAGCAGCTGCTTGGTTACTATCCTTTCTTCTGGGTTCCGCTAACAACTTCTCCCTTCGATTCAGGGTGGTGACAGCTCTCCTGTTCCCAGCCCTGGATCCCTTACCATCCCAGACACAGCTCTGTGATTTATACACCCCTTCCTTCCTTACTTCTTACAGTAAAATCAGAATTTAAGAAGGGGCTCGTGTTTGTTATTTGACTGTGTCTGTCTGCCAGTGCATGGAGGCATACGCACCTTAGTGTGAGCAGCAGTCCTGGCGTAATCATTTTAAAATACCATACTTTTAAAAGTATGGTAAGACATGAATTAGATTACTGCTGAGCTACAGAATCTGTGCTGTGTAACAGGTACAACTCTAAGTCCTTCTAGTAACTTCTTAGGAAGAATCTAAAATAGATCCATCTATTTTATACTCATTTATACTGCATTTCATCTGTTCTAGCCTAACTCCAGCACATATGCCAGAGAAGTTTCAAAGCCCGAAAGAATAGTTCTCCCCAAATTACAGGTCAGATATTCGGCAAAGCGCTTTTCTAGGGGTTAGAGAGCAAGGAAACCCGAAAACAGGTGACTGAAATCAATAAAAAATACCACCACAACAATTATAATTTGAGCCTTTTCCAGGTGGGCAATTAAGTGATGAGAACTCTAGGTTTTTTTCCAAGTCTAGATTATGAGATTTTTTTCTAATTATAAGTACATGAGGAAAAAAAAAATCAACACTGAAGATTCAATCAGTGTTGACCAAATGCTAGCAAAACTGGTAACTCAGTCTTCCTATTAGACATAGTATATCAAAATGTGGTTAACCACATGAAACTACTGACATATCACTATCCAGCTTGGCAGTAAGAACTGTAAAACAATATTCGCTGTCTTGTGCTCTTTTCAATCAAACAAAGAAATGAGCCACAGGCTGTTTAAATTCAGGGGAAAGTGTTTTTTTCTAATAGCTTCCTTTCTCCCTCATGGACACCCTACACAATTGCTTAACTGATTTATTTGGTAATTTATTTGATATTCATTTGATTTTTTTTTTCCAATTCACAGAAACACACTCAATTCTTTCTTTTTTTACACTTTGTTATTTCTTGATTACATACCAGGGGCACTGCTCGGGACGTCTCAACACGAGGCCGGGGTGCAGTTGAATACATGTAGTTGAAGAGTCTGTCAATTTTCCTCAAAGGAACACCACCTCCTCGGTCACTCATCTAAGGTGAGAAAGGATCATGCCTTATGACCAAGTCCCATAAACAGCAAAACACCAAGACACACTTACAGTTAAACTGCTGATGGGAAAGTATTGCTCTTTCTTCCCTTCTCTCTCTCTTTCAGGATTGTTTATTTATTTATTTGAGAGGGAGAGAAGCACACAAGCAACAGCAGGGGCAGAGGGAGAGAGACAAGCAGAGACCCCGCTGAGCAAGGAGCCAGAGCGGGGCTTGATCCCAGGACCCTGAGATCATGACCTGAGCCGAAGGCAGCTGCTTAACCACCTGAGCCAACTCCCCCAGTTAAGGAGATCATTTGTGCCCAAAGAAAGTACTGCTTTTCAAAACAAGTACCATGCAATCCAAGTTGTGAGTGTAAACGTTCTCCTCAATGGCAGACTTCACAGAACTCCAATGTGCACAATTCTAATGCATAATAAGCTCCATCATAACACAGAGTCAGTGCTGGGGCTCTGCCTCTCACTGGCCGCACATCCACAGTGCAGCGAGCACAGAACGGGGCATAAACTAAGTCTATCCAGGATGTAACAATGAATTTGTTATTCCTTTCTGGTGGGTGGTATGGCAATCAGATTCAAAATGCATGAACCCGCTGACCCAACAGTGTTTATCCTAAAAAAATAATCAAAGAAGTATGCAATGTATGTATGAGAATATCCACCACAGCACTATGCAGAATGGCTGAAACTGGATTCTAACCTAAATAGGGGACTACTGAAGTAAACTAAATCACATTCTAAAATAGAAAACCACTGAGCCATGAAATATTGTGTAGAACTGTAGGTACCGGGGTGAAAGAGGTCCACACAACACTATTCAGCAGCACAGACCCCCAGACAACTTCCTTTTGAGTTTAGAGTACACTGGTCTTTGGATTGTTCTAATGTCATTTCTCAACTCAAATCACATGTTAGGCTGAATTTAGTAATTTATTTAGAGACTATTTTCATTCTGTTTTCCTTTACAGTCAACGGGGCCTTATTTTCCAAATTATTGTACATTTTCCTTTGTCACAAAATCTAAATTGAGTCTACTATCTGTAACATTAATATACAAACAAATCTGGTTTAACGTGTGTGTGTACATGTGTGTATGCGTGTGTGGTACACATATATGTGAATGAATGAATAAATAGGTAGATGGATAGATAGTGTTGAATAGTTAAAAAATCAGTAGGCTGGGGGTGCCTGGTTGGTTTAATTGGAATAGCATCCAACTCTTAATCTTGGGGTCATGAATTTGAGCCCCACGTAGGGTGTAGAGACTACTCAAAAAAAAAAATGAAATAAAAAATCAAAGACTTGATCACAAATAAGTTTAAAAGAGCATTATTTAAAAAAAAAGGTCAAGCCTGGATAGCTTATAGTTGAGTTTTTATGTGAATTTTAAATATCTTTACAGTATGCATATATATTACTTTCATAATGAAAATGACAGATATTTTAATTTTTAAAATAAAAATATGCTTTGAAATACCACTTGAGGGCTTGCCTCCGATACATCTACAACTAGAAAATTACAGTATAAAAATACACAAAGACTTTAGTTAGAACTTGAACATAAGCATGCTTGAAATTGTTTTTGGCTATGAATTCAAAGTCCAGTGAAGAGATTTATTTTCATAAGATTAATAAAGAGCTCTGGGTATTTTCTAGAATAGATCAATTCGTTAATTACTCATCCTTTAATTTAATGTTCTGCTGCACATTTACTGGTAATGTGAGTAAGAAGTGTGGGTGTTCTGTAAATATTAAGTAAGTAAAGAATATATTAGAATAGATACTAAGATAAAAAGCAGACTTCAGTAAGTACTTCCTGGTTTTCCTTAACCTTTGGCCAGAAAGACACAACAATCTTACATGAAACAAGAAGTAATTTCTCTCTAGAGGCCAGTATGAGAAAAGCAGAGAGCTGAGTAGAAAGGACAGAGGTGACTTTGAGAAGCGTCTTCTTCTTACAGGTAAATGGGGTAAACTAAGCCATAAGAATGTAACTAAAAACTGATAAAGCTAACCTCCTTTGCTTTGCAGCCAAAGACACAATAAACTGGAACCAGATTTTTAAAGTGGTCAAAAGAGTTTCTTTTTTCTTTTTTTTTTTTTTTTAAGATTTTATTTATTTATTTGACAGAGAGATCACAAGTAGACAGAGAGGCAGGCAGAGAGAGAGAGGGAAGCAGGCTCCCTGCTGAGCAGAGAGCCCGACGTGGGGCTCGATCCCAGGACCCCGGGATCATGACCTGAGCTGAAAGCAGAGGCTTTAACCCACTGAGCCACCCAGGCGCCCCATCGAAAGAGCTTCTAAGGGAATTGTAACAAATGATATTATGCCAGAAGATCTGAGTTCCTTGGAAAAAGGGGAAAAGGGATTAATGGGAGAGAGGGACAGACAGTTGGTCTGTACATATTTAAGAAGAATGGCAGTCTGATGAGAAATATGTTGAGAAAGATATGTGAAAATTAAACTTCTGATCAAGATAATTTGAAGAAAAAATCGAGAATCATCAGAAGAAGCCTATGCCAAGGAAATGTAAAGATATTACAAAAGAGATGGGTGATACACAGTAATGTCAACAGAAAGGCTGAGAAAGAGAAGTTTGCCAAAATTTTTATTTTTAAAATTTTCTCTTCGGTGTATGAAATCACCACTTCGCAATGTCATCTAACCAAGAGTTGCCATCCCTAACTTCCTATTCCCCATAACACTGGCCTCCCTGGGGTAATTTGTGTGAATTTCAGATCCAAGGGAAATGAACCACTAACTTGGTGACAGCTCTAAAGGCAGGAGATTTACTAACCCTGAACTTACCCAGAGCTCCTGAAGTCTCCTCCTCAACAGCTTTCTCAATGTCTAGTTTGTAAAATCACCAACAGGGAACAAACCAAGACACTGACATTTTAATTTGAAAGACATGTGGCTGTTAACACTTATTTTATTTACTGAGCATAGCACAAACACCAAATCTAAAAGAGCAGCTAGAGTCATCGGCCAGAAAAAACCAACTCTCTCACAGGATTCTTAGCCAATGGAAAAAAGGTAAAAAATATAAAAAATTTGAATAAGCTAAAAGAATGGGAAAAAAGACTATATAAAGACTATTTAAAAACTCAACTATAAGCCATCCTGTTGACTTTCTAATATATATCATTTAGTACTAGTTTTCTATGTTTCTATAGACAGATTAAAAGCAGACCTTGATCCTGAAAATCCAGTACTACAGATGGGGATGAAAACTCTACTGAAGAAATTAAAGAAAGCATTTATTTAACAGATTTGGTCATGTGACCTTGGATGTGTGGAGGAAGAGCCTAATATGGGCAGAGCCTTTACAGGGGCTTCTAGAACAGCCTTTTCAAGACCCTTCTGAGTCTTCCTTTCCTTTTTTTTTTTTTTTTAACAGCTTTATTAAAGTAATTCATTTACCATAAAATTCACCTATTTAAACTGTGAAACTCGATAGTTTTTAATATACAAGTAGATATGTACAACATTCACCACAAATTTTAGAATATTTTTATTACTTCAAAAAGAAACCCTGGACTCTTTATTGGTCAGACTCCTAAGCAACTACCAATCTGTTTCTTGTCCCTATACATTTGCCAATTCTGGACATTTCATATAAATAGAATTGTATGATAGGATTGGTTTCTTTCACTTAGTGTAATCTTTTCAGTATTGTAGCTAGCAGCCACACTGTAGCAGGTACCCATACTTCATCTCTTTTTATGGCCCAACAATACTCCATCAGATGGATGTACCACATTTCATTGATCTGTTCATCAGTTGATGGTCATCTGGGACATTTCCAGTTTTTGGCTATTATGAATAATGCTGCTATGAACCTTCTTGTATTAATTTTTGCTTGAATACCTGTTCTCATTTCTTTGGGTATATACCTAGGAATGGAAATCGCTGGGTCATTATGAAACTTTCTTGACACTAAAGAGACAGATACCCCAAACAAATCCTGCCTACCAGCACAGGCCAAGTCTCTGCTAAGTGTCTAAGAATTCAGTGACTCTTAATCCACGCTGTGATGGATAACCACAAGTAAAAGCAAACAGTTACAGACCAACATGCAAAAGCACATGAAAGACAAAACAGCAAAAAATTATGAGAAAGGCAATGCTGTAGCACAACTGAGGTCCCCAAGCAGAAGACATGTGGGATTTATTTTGAATCAAGTAAACCTTAACGAGCAAGTAGCTGACACATAACCAACCAAAAAATAGACATACATTAGCATCTGGGCTGAAAAAAAGTGATGCATTCACATTACTTTTTTAGCAAACAGATGGTATTTGCCATACATTTATGTGTGCATCACTCTTTTTAAATGAACAGCCAAGAGAGATAAACAGAAGAAAGAAACTCAGAGGAAACAGTGTAGAGAGTTAAGGCATATTAATTTTTTAGAAAAAAACAGCTATTATTATCCTCAGAGTGATAAAAGAAGGTAAAACTAAACAGAATACTATAAAAAAGGAATAATAAAAAATAAAAAGTTCCCAGAAATTTGTAAGATAATAGAAACAAAAATTCAATACAAGAGTTGGGAATTCAAAGTTGAGGGCATCTCACAGAGTAGAATGAAAAGTTTAAAGAGATAAAAAGCAGCAGAAAAAAAGATAAGAAAAATCAGAGGATCAATTCATGAAGCCCAACATTCTCCAAACGGGACTATCGGAAAATGAAGCAGTAGGGAAGAAAGCACCAAGGAAACAGTGGAAATTCTAAAGGGCCCAGCTCAATGAGTAAGAAAAGACCCATACCAAGTCACATCATTAAGAAATATCAGAACAAAGCTGAAGAAAAGATCTTAAAAGCTTTAGTTAAAAGAGACAAAACAACAAAACCTGACACTTAAAACTGGTCGTATACAAAAGAACAGGAATTGGAATAAGCAGAAGTCTTCTCAAAAGGAATAGCAGGAGTTACGTCAGCAAAAATAGTGGAAAAAGGAAAAGTGTCTCATCCAT